TCAGTTTTGTTTCGTTCATGTTGAGGAAGCGTCCATCTGTTTCGACCCCTCTCTTATCCGATTTGGAACTCCTCGACAAGCTGTGGGGGTTTTCTAATTGATTTGATTGCAACTGACAGCGTTTACTCCTCCAAGTTTTATTTTCCTCGGATTTTATTGCTTATTTTTATGTTTTTGAATTTAACCGAAATATTCAACTTCACCAGTTTCCAAGTTTTTCAGCCAACCTGAAGCACTTCTGAGTTGCATTAAACTGCTGAATGTGCTTTAAGTGATGGCTCGACTTGACTTGGCTCAGTTCATCATCTGCTGAACTCGGCTTCAATGCCTTTGCTTTCTCTCAGCCAAATTTCGTAACTTTATAGTAACTTCTTTTTAATTTTATCTAATGTCCGTTAGAAAGGAGCATAAAAAACTGAATATTCCTTTCTAAACAGATGGACCCATTCTCTGAAGAGAAATGGGAGGGATATCGCTTACATGCTGTTGATGGGAGGCTTAATGTCCTTATTTTGTCTTCGCTTCTCCTAAAAACCAAACTATTCAGAAGTGTTGAGTTTCAGTTGTTTCACTGAATATTGCATAAAATTTTCCGTTACTGAATGAATTTTCAGTATCACTGGAGGATTTGCATATGCGTAAGCCGTTTAAAAGTAGTTGTTTGATCGATCAGCACACGTTAGATCGCCAGACACTGCCATCGGCGCTGGCAGAATGTTACGCTGCATGCGATCCGCCGCCCGCTTTGGATGCGCTCAATCCGTATAGAGATGACAAGAAGAGTGCTCTTCGGTGAGTTTTATGCGATTCATATTTTTTTTGACTTTTCATGCACATTATTAGTGAGTAGTATCCAGGAGGAAGTAAGCAACCACTCAGGTGGCCAGGAGATGCAAATACATGCAACAGATGGCCGGTACTAATTGGAAATGTGCTGCTCAGGAGCAAAGGGCCTGGCATAGCTGCGCTTCGCGGGTAAAAGCATCTTAGTAACATCACTAATAGAGGAATCCTACACTGATAGTCAGAGTAGACTTGGTGTGTGACTGGTTGGGCCTGTATCTCTAAGATTGTGTGTTCACACGGCAAAATTTACGCACACAAGTTTGACAGCGGATTAAAATAGTGAGGCACGGGTTTACGGACGGAAGCGGCAAAGCGAATACTAATTGATACTTAAAAAATAGTGGAGCAAAAAATGCCTGGCATACCTCTTAGTGTCCATATAAGCAGACTTTTCGTTGGATGAACGGTATGCTTGATATTATTGAAGTTAGTGCTGTTAGCCTAAAATTTTAAGTCTGAAGTTAATGCGCGCTGTTAGCACTGCAAAAACGAACTGGCACGGTTCTTTGTTTTTTTTGCGATTTACTGAAAGATAAGCCAGAAAAGAAAGTGGGCCACTTTTTTAGCGCAAGAGATGGTGGTGCACGGGACGGTTTACGGATACTGATCAGAGGTGTGCAGGTAAGGATAAGGCTTAGCCATAATTATGCATTACTTCTAAATGCATCCCAGTAACGCCACTAACATTGCATTTTCATATTGATTGTCTCAGCTATCTTCATAGTTTTAAAATCCTCACTGAGCTATACTGAAATGTGAATAGATTTTTAGCTTAATGCCTGCACTGTCCAAGGGGAGTTATTGACATCACAGTGTCCGACAGAATTCCTCTGAGGCTATAGATATCGGTAACATTTGTTCGATTACGAGTTTTATTTTCCATTACAGGAAAGACATTGTTGCTTTGGCCAAAATGGCCACATCGTCGCGTTATATGAACTGGTATGAACAAATGGAACTGTTTGCCACTGGAAAAAAAAAGCACTGAATTTATGAGAATTTTGAAATCTTTATAGATACTATACGGATCCATCATACTTTTTCGATTTATGGAGGCAAGAAATGCTAAAAGATGTGGGAGATGGACGCCGTGGACGTGCAGTCAGATCGCCTGACGAGGGCAGAAGTCCGTCTCGGAAAAAGCGTACGCGGCAACCAGCATCCACTAATGTTGCTAGGGAAGCCATCCCGAGGTTACCGTTTTTTTTATCACGCATTAAAATCTTCGGTTTTTTTCTTGAAATTCTTCGTTCAGAATCATCTCTCTGTTAGTATAGTATATAACATGTGTATGTAGGCATTCGCACGAAGCCTGTTAGTGGACGAGAAATCAAATGAATACGCAGAAATCATATTTAGCGTTATTTACAGTTGAAAAGAGATCAGAATTTTGATTTTTTTTATTTTGAGGTCGCAGATTCAGTTAACTGTATGCAAACGATTATCAGTTACATGTCACTTTAACACTTTAATAGTCTGCCGTTTTATCGTAGCGCATCTTCATGACATTTATGCTTAGTTAAAACTTGTTAAATTATATAATTCAAGTTAATATGCACATACTTGGGTTTATAAATAAGCCATTTATTCATAATTTACGTTGTGCCGAGATTTTGCAGGTATGCGATGGCATCGCAGCAACGTCCTGCGGACATTATGCATTTCCCGGCTGAATATCAAGCACCACAAATCACTCGTGTTGATCAAGTTCGTGTGCCGGCTGGAATGAGCCTGCCGACCAGTAATGGCTATGTTGTGAAAGCGCCGTATACCGGCAACGCTGTTACACCGCTTACAGCTACTGTTGCACCCCTCCCTCCTCCAATCAAGGAGGTAATTTTCAAATATAATTTTGTGAAATTGCAAAAAACACTTATTTTTCTTGAATTCTTAAGATTTGTTTTGGAAGCCAGTAATAGGAGATTCCATAATAGAAAACTAAACAACCATCATGATCGTTTTCTGGTCTGTGGCTTCCTTGTTTATACACAATCCATTCTTGATATTGTTCAGCC